CTTTGACTGTATGCAAACATTTCTTTCCATTGGTGTTACTGTATTCCCACCTATTTCTCAACAAAAAAAAAAAAAAGAAGTAGAGGAACAGTAGTAAGGACTCACCACTACCATTCACAGTTACAACTGTGTAAAAGATGTCTGAATTTGCTACAGGGTAAATTCATGGCATGGTTTGTATTCCAGTACATCCCATTCACTCTACAGAAGTATAAGTTTGAACTACAAAACTTCAAATCCATATGCTAGCTTAATGCATTAACCAAAACTGTATTCTTACAAGGAACTCTTGCTAATTCCAGCATCCAGTACTTGTAATGAAACCAAAAAGCTAGGCAAGCATTTCCCAACAGGAAGACACTCTGTGCCAAAGATACAGTACAGAAAGGAGAAGAGTTTCTTTTCAATCTTGTCCTTTATGCTCATGGAACAGCTTTCCCAAATGAAATAAAAATTGGAGCAAGACTCCAGAATTATCACCAGTTACCTAAATGAAGGTGGAATATACTCTGGAGGCAGTACAGGTGGCAGTGGCTGACCAGACATGGCTACGTCAATTAAATGCATAGCCAGAATAAACTCTTCTGCTGTAAGTTTTCCATCTTGATCGATATCTGAAAGATTCCTTTTTAAAGGAAAAATATGACGTAAGTAAATTCTTGAAGATTAAAAATCACGTTAAAATGCATCTTTTTAACACAATCAGTTCCAAATTAATTCACTTTTTCTTGCCCACACGACATTGTTTCTTTAAAACAAATAAAAAGCAAGAGCCAAATGCTTCGCTATTTCCCACATTTCTCATGCATGTCTGCCTTGAAACTATCCTTACAGCCGTGGCTTCTACTTCACTTGCTTTGAGTGATGCCTGTACCATATGCTATATAAGTAATGTTAATCAACTGAGTGTTCTTCAACACCTTTCAACATCCACTACACAACAGCATTTAGAAAAGAATCAGTTCTGGTAGAACTTTTTGGTTTGGTCTCCTGTGTCACATTACAGAGCACAGGTTTGCACTGAAATCAAAGCCATTAACATTCTAGCCCTGCCAAGCACAAAACCCATTTTAGCATTATGCACTTATGGAGTAATGTCTCTGGATGGCCTAAAACCAGTGCTCCAACAGATGCACAAAATGCTTTTACTCATATTAAGGTGGTACCAGACAAAATTTAACAGCCTAACAAACATCAGCTTTGTTTCTCTTGCATGCTGCACTCCAATCATGCAGAAAAATATCTCATGATATGGTGAAAAATCAAAGATAAGCAACTGATACATTCTTTTGATGCTTCAAGATACAGGGCTTTTTTAATGGGATTTAAACTGGGAAAACAATTACAGCTTCATTTGATCCATGCTTGTGTTATTGAACTCCTCAGGCTGGACCACAAGAACAAGCCAGTAGAATGAAAATCTAGCCTGCAAAGATATAATTGAACAGCTATCTTAACAGTCCAGGTCCACATCTTTGTTAGGGAAATACTAAAATAGCTGCTACAGAAGAGCAGACAGGCTGCATATCGGTACTTCACTTCGGATTCACCAACTCAGACACGCAGTGCCAATACACGCTGACAAAACAGCCGTTCCACTGCCTCAGAGGAAGTGTCAGGAAAGGGAGCAACACTTAGGACAACAAAACCTGTAAAATCTATTCCTTATCTCAACAGACTTAGCACTTCTGAATGTCAGAAATTAGAAGTCATAGCTATGTTTAGAACTCCTAGAGTATGCTGATGTCATTCCCCTGCCCACACAACCTACACACAACGTTGGCAGCAAGCAGATTATTTTTTAGTTAATCATCTGCTGGATGATTAGGTTGGTATTTTATTTTGTTACAGTAGCTTTGTTAGGAAACAGAGAAGGAGATGCATTTTATGATATAACAAAAACATTAGTGCTTAGCACAGCAAGCAAGTACAACTGAACTGCCACATTAGAGCGACACCTCAGTTGACATCCTCATGCAGAAGTCAGGTGGGTTAGTGAGTTGACAACGGTTTTCAAGCAGAGATTTATGAAGTACAGAATTAGAAATAACTTTCCATGTGTCAACTAGAACATAATAAGCTTCAGCAAACAAGAAGTTGAAAGGAAAAAGAGAAGCTAAGACAAATCCTTTTAAAGTCCATGATTTAAAACTTAAGTAACTCTAGTCCCTTGGAAATAAGCCCTTAGAAACTCACATAAATGGCAGAGAAGCCCCCAAAGAAAGTATGGTTCTGCGTTAAGTTTCCTTTTGGACTACCAGTGCAAATGTACATGTTTTACTGGTGCTGTATCTGATATGGTCGGGCATGTGGAAGACAGGAGGCTCAACACCTGGTCTGCCTAAAAACCCCAGAATTGAAATCCAACTTATGAAACATCTACGGGCACAGCATAAAAGATATGGTTTTTACTTTCGTGAAGTAGTATTAATGTAAGCACAGCAGTGCAGGTTTTGTTTTATAAAGTTATACATTAAAAGATGATGGTAATGAGTTATCTGTGGAGATTGAAAAGGGAGAAAAATCCCACAGTACACAGAGGTTTAAGTACAGTTTCCAGTTTAATGGAAATGGATAGACTTATTTTTACCATATTGTTGCCAGCTGAGCCTGGGGTAAACTTGACTGCATAAGAATAGTTCTTGCTTGTGGACCTAAAAGTGAAACAAGGATTAACAGACAAATAAGCAATATTCTCCTTTTCTTGCATTACTAGGTGGCTGCTGCACAAGCAGAGCTTAGTTCTGAATAGCTAACACTGAAGAGATGTTATCAGCATGCACAGGCTATGCATTCTGCTATCCCTAGGCTCCCCACCCAAATGAAAATACTAAGAAAATACATAATCCTTCCCTTGTCTACAGCAATCACACAGAAAGGGCGGGTGGGAAACACCCACACCCCACACTATGAAAGACAAGGAGATGCTCACAGAAGTAGTGAAACTAAGCCAGTGTACCATTCTAGTTTCTTTCTGAAACTGGAGAGGCATCCTCATCACTGGATGGGCTGAACCCTGCAAATGGCTGCGCAGGTTTTCACATAACCCACTGTACACTTTCCAAGAACCCTTTCCCAGTGCCAACTTACTTGGCAGAAAATAAAGGAAAGAAGGTGATAAAATGATCCCAGCTATGATGAATATTTACTTCTAAAAAAGATCATTAAGCAGCTGGGAGAGTAAAACAGAAAAACATTGATGGTGGCAACAGAGAGATGAGTCTCTTACAGTCTGATCAGCATTCTAAACGCTATTACAATTGGCCTTTTACAGTTCAAAAAAAGGAGATGATAAAAACTGCTTCAGTACCTGTTAAATGTCCACTCATTGTTTTATCGTGGCTATTGAACAGCTGTCTGTACTTCAGCCTTGATGACTGAGGTACAGCCCACTCTGCCACAGGAGGCACACTAGAAATAGAAAAAAGGGTAAGAGGAGGGGGGAAATATAATTTTAAATTTAATCAAATGAAGCCAACAGGTACAACAGAACAAAGTGCTGCACAGCGATCAAGTTTTGTGTCTGAAATGGTTTCCACAAATATTCCCTTCTATTCCTGAAAGCACAACAGATTTGACTTCTTGTTTGAAAACATCTATCATAACTCAGTGTCTTAGATGATGGTTTTTGGTAAACTTGAATGACAGGCTGAAGAATTTTGCTTTTGTCTTTCCTAGGAGAGAATTAAGTAACCTGAACAGTCTAGAGGTGCTAAAAGCTTTTACCTAAACATACAATAAGAAAGGCCTTACTACAGTCAGCAGAAGTAATATCTCATGTTACCCTGCCTATAACTGGTTGTCTTAGCCAAATAATTCATGAGCTGATTAAGGAAAACAAATGTAAAACATGCTGAAAACACAGAAAAAGAAGTGTGAAAAAGCTACACTTGAAAGAAAAGTTTCTTGTAATGGAACTCAACTGACAAATGTAATATTCCCAGTTCTAATTCATTCATCATATAATAGGTTGAGTGCTGTTATTTGTAGCTGTAATTTCCCATGCCTGAAGGCTGACAAGTCTTCATACTGAAAAACAATGAGCACAGCTTTTCTGTCTTCAGGCACATTCAAATTTTGTCCTTTTTCGTTAAGGTCAAAAAAAAAGAGACAGCCAGATTAAATACACATTTGTAACAGCATAGCAAATTACAGTTTAAAAAACAAACCAAACCACTAAATCCCTTTCCCCTGGTCCACAGAGCAGACAGCATGGTAAGGCCTTTCAAAGTTGAGCTAAGAAGGATTTATGAATACTCTACTAATTGACCTCATATGCTATTCTCACATGCCAAGACCCAAAACAGCTAATATCTCTATTTCTATCTTCTACATCCAAACTATGGTGCTTTAATAATACTCTTTCATGGGAGCAAAGCAAAACCAAGCTGCATCCCTAATAATGAAAATAAGAACTAAAACTTTAAAAAAATTTTAAAAACCCCTGACTATTTAAGTTTTATCCTTGCGAATTCCTCCTCACCAGTTTTGCTAGGTTTAAAGTTTCCACACTGCTTTAGTCTTACATGTGTATGTGCCTTCATCTGTGAAGTACGGTTACTACACATTAATGCAGCTCTCCTTCATGGATACTTAAGTAGTAGTTTTGGAAGAAAAAATGCTGGCAGACAAAACAACTGTATGTATGCCAGACACCATGCATGCCAAGAGTTTGCTACTGGTGACTCAGCACACAGAGATAGAAGCACTGCAAATGGAATTTTGAAGTTCACCCACCTCAAAATTCAAAATAATTCTCAGCTAGAAAAAAAATTACTTCAAGTTTACATTTCAATTTAATGGACCTAACTATTCTTCCTCCCTCTCCATAAACTCTGCATACCAATTACCTTGCTATCTGTTTTCTCCAAAATAAAACCTGAAGACCCACTCCAGTCCATCACCCAGCATTAGCAGCGGTCTGAGAAGGAGTATCACCCTCAGTGCTGGCAGACGTTTCAGAGTTACTGAAGTACCCGTGACTGAGCTAAGGAAGCTCCAACCCCATCCTAAGAATTCAGAGAACCATGCAATTTCACCTCAGAAAAGAGGTCGTCTCACCTGAGGTTCAGGCCTCTGTTCGCAATACAATTGACAAGCAAAATTGGGATATAGTTAAACCCAGAACTATAACAGCCCTCTCATGGAATATCTAGAAGCTATTTCAGCTGAAGTTCCCTGAATTTCATTCATTATAAATACTAAGTGTGTTGTTACAGACAAAACACACACCTTCTTGTACCTCTACAAATTGTATCAGGGCATCGTTACTATGTTCCTGACAGTACTAGATTTCAAAGAGAAAAAGAATTGTTGTTCTGAAAGATATTTAGTCCTATTTGCGAATAATCAGTAGTGTTCCTTATCTAACAGCAGAGCACAAGAAAAACCTGCAGAAGGTAAATGAGAAGAAAAAGAATTGAATAAAGTCCCAACCCATTTTCTTCTTGGGGGAGAAAAAAAAAAAAATCTTAATATAGATTTGTGAGAAAGTTTTGATTTATAAAGACTCTGGGAAATTACTGTCTTACCTTCTCTAAGGGAGTTTTATTTTGTTAGATACATTTCTTCAGACCATAGTAAAATACATTTTGCCTAATCATGTATTTTCCTAGGCCTTGAAATAATCTAAAATACTTTTAAGTGATATATAAGAATATTTAAGAAACAGCTACATGTAGTGCATTTAAAACATGCGAACTATTAAATATTTTGCTTTAAAAAATAGTCCTAGAGTTGTTAATTTTAAGGAACATTATTTAATATGTTTTCACACTAACCTGTGCAGGGTTACACAATGCAGATTATGTTTACAGAAGCAAATGCTTTTCTTTCTAAAAAGTTTTTAAGGTTTCAAGAGTTTGAAAATAGTGTCAACACATAATGTAACAGTTAATAATTATATTTCAAAGATTGACTACCCATGGAGCATTCCTTGTAAAACCACCGCATCCTATGAATAGCAGGAACTGATTTCTGCAAGTAAATATTATTTCAGAAAACAACTTTGTGAAAGAGAAGTAGTTTTTCTAACTCTGGGGAACCAGATACAGGCATGCACTCATTCCATAACGACTTACCTAGCCACATCAAACGATTGTGCCTTTTGCAGTTTTGCGTTTAGCTGCGATCCTGGACCAGATCTACTAAAGGATGAACTCTTTGGCAATGTGGCTGTAAATAAGAGAATACATGCATTTTTTTAGTGTTAGCATTTTAAACTGTAGAATTTCAATGACATTCATTTGGTTCCTAACATCAAATACAAGCATTACAGTTCTTTGGATGGCATCCCTTTTAAAAAACATTAAGACAACAGTGTATAACAACACAGGTAAAAACACACAGGCGCTTCTCTCAAGTCTTTTTACTTTTGCAGTTTTATGCAAACCCTGTTGCTATCAAATTTTAATTTCTAACATTAATCACAATATATAAATCCCAGTACTCTAAAGTAATCCCAACAAACAGAAGCACTTTGATAGTTACAAACAGATAGGAGAAGACCAACTTCTATGCAACAGTTTACAGGCAAGTTAGATTTATCACACTGCTGTTACAACAGGGTTAATATTTTGCTCAACATGACTGGTACAGCATGGTACGTCCATGTTTCTTCTTTTACCTTTTATACAAGTTTGCTAATCAATTACATTAGGCTAAAACAAAGTATAATCCTTACTTTGAAGGAAGACTTTGGGTAAGTTAGAATGGCTAATTCCATGCCTACTGTTCTCTGGATCAAAAGAAAATGGCAAAATAATGTGTTAATAGCAAGAGAGTAAACAGAATCTCAGTGTGTAGCATACCAGGATGAGCAAAAGCAGGCAGAGGCTGTATAACAGCAGGAGCTCCATTAGCCAGGGGAGGTACTGCTGCTGCAGGAACAGAAGATACTAATGGTGGAGACATTCCTACTACTGGAATAGATGCCATTGGCACTGGGGCAACAGTTGTAAGAGATGGCATGCTGGCAATGCCCCCAATACCTATGAGCAAGAAAAGGAGATATTTTTTTCTAATTTAGAGATTCCTAATACGATACAACAATTTAACTGCAGCCTGCAACCCAGCAGTAAATGCAGAATTAAACAGCAAATTGAAATGGAAAATTCCACAGACCCCCTGAAAGAACTCTTACAGTCCACTGCACCATTAGCATGGCAGGGGAACATAAAACAATGCAGAGGGAACAACATACCACTTTATAATGTATGCATATAAGATCACACTGGATGCAACACTGACCAAAAAGGTCTATTAGCATTTGCTGAAGAAAAGAATTGTTTGCCTTGAACTAAGTGAAGAGCAGCACTGTCAACTTCCAGTGAGTAATGAACCCAAAGCCTACATTTAGCCGCAGTTGAAAAGAACAAGCTTCAGGATAACTGCTTGCAGCCTATTGTCAAGATGAAACAGTGCAAAGCTAATAGGGTAAAGCACAGTAATGAGGTATTTTAGGTGTAAGCACAGTTGCATGAATAACAGGGAGGTTAAGGAGGTCCACTCATGCCAATGGGAAGAATGAGGCTGTGTGCAAACAGCTGAGATCAAGCCTACAGTGAATGAGAAAAAAAAAAAAAAATAATCACAGATTTTACTGGTTTTCTCAGGGATTTGACTTTATTATGCCTTTTCTCACTTAAACTAGTATTTGTTGTGTTCAGTTTCACCAATTTCTTCCAGTCAGCAATGAAACTGTAAAACTCATGGAAGCACCAACCGATCAAACAACTCGGTTGCACGCAGTTTATAAAGCGCACTATTCCCTTTTAAGGGCAGCGATGATTCTCAGGTGCCAAACATCTTGAGTCACAGCAACGACTAAACTGGAAAGGTAAAGAACCTCTCGCTACACAACACAGCTAAATATCAAGGCGTCAAAACCACAAGGTTCAGCTGCATTGAGTTACTTTCTTCTCACTATCCCGTTTTCCCTACTCTTTTCCTTGAAATGATGGCAAGCTTGGCAGTAGTAACTACAAGAACTGAATCAGCAGCTGCCCTAGTTAATACCAGTGCAGCACTCTTCATAAAATAAAAGCAAAGGGCTGCATTACTACCATGATTTGTAAGAAGTCAAGAAAAACATAGCTAATCTTGCCAAAGCTGGAGATCCCTCAATGAAAAAGAAAGATAAATAACAATAGTTTAAATGCAAACTCCATCACTTTGGAATGCATTAGCCCTGCCACCTGATCCATCTGTTTTTCTCCCCGCAAACACTTTTGTTTGGAACATACAGGGAGCAGTATAAGACCTGAAGCAAACTGGACCTCAACTTACATTATTCACTAATAGCTGCTAAAAAGCTTATTGAGTTTGGTGTTTGGTTTTTTTTTTTGGAACACGTTCATGCGTGTGGAAGCAATTGGGTTTGAGTCCATGTACTTTTAGAAGTACTTTTTCCTATTAGTTTCTTTCAGAAACTGCAAAACAAGCAGCAAATTCAACTTAGGTTGCTACCATACAAGCTAACAAGGAGGAAAACAAAGGGCTTACCAAATCCTGGTGCCGTAGGCAGAGCAATAGGTGGCTGCTTCATGACGGGAGGCAGTGCAGATGGGAGTTGATAACCTTGTAGTTTTAATTTGATAAGTTTCATAGCTATTGAAAACTCCAGCTGATCCATCCTCCCATCATTGTTCATGTCAGCTAGAGCCCTACAAATACATGATTTCCATCGTTAGATTCTCAAAGTATGAAATTCAGGAGCTGACCTAGGAGCATGCACACAGTCATGTACATTCAAGACTAATTTCTGCTAAAAATAATTATGCCAGGCTAAAAATGGTCATGAAAAAAGACACTCTTTAAACTGAGAGCATCTTGATTTCTTTCTTAGAGAGATTAATAAACATTTTTTAAAGTTGCTTTTCAACTCTCAGAGGAATTACAGTGAAGCACCCAGAGAAGAAAGATCAATGTACTTCCACAAAAACTTTGAAAAATCATACAAATGTAACTACATGGCACTATAAACAGCGTCACAGGGAATCAAATTACTTAGTCTGAAAATTTAGCTACACTTAAAATGAAACATTCTGTAAATCTGTGCACTTTACTAAACATCACAACATCTGCAAGCATACAAATGTGTTTTCAGTTAAACAATAGCACTCAAACACTGAGCCTAGACCTTGAATAAGCTTTCATGTAAAGTAGTCTGATTAGGCAGTCTGACTTAAACAATCTCGGTTTTGTTTCCTCATTTGATGGTTAAGAAAACCATGCTCAGCAGGGAATAGGGTTGAGAGGTTGGGAGGAGAGAAGCAGGAAGAAGGTTAGTTCCTGAAATTGCAAACCAAAAAAAGAGAGTAAATGCATATAAATGTAATCAGTTGTAAACTTACAAGTTTTAAACATTATGCTTATTTCTCTACATTCATTTGGAAAATTAAGTACACATTTCAGTATTGGAGTAATACATATTAAGTTCATGTGTACATTTACATGCCACAGACATGACAACACAAAGGACCCTGGGCATCCTAATTAAACTCGAGCTTTATTTCTCACCAAATCCCTGTCAAGGAAAGCTTTCATTCAAGTATGTGAAAAGTTATCAAAAAAGTACTGCAATAAATTGGCAGTTATTATAATTGATACTTAAACAAGTAGACAGTCAGGTAAATGCAGTGGTAAGCATTCACAAAATGAAAATCCTCCCAGCCCAACGAAAAAAAAAAACAAACAACAACAAAAAAAACCAAAAAAAACCCAAAACAAAACAAAACAAAAACAAAAAAAAACCACCCAGTGAAGAGGCAGACCCCAGCAGGGGCTGCCACAGGTCAACCATATATTTTAAAGAGTTTCCCCTGGATGAGATCACCAGCAGCATTTCCCCCAAAACGGAGACACTCCAACCCTTCCAAATTCTTATAAGACAACATTTTCAGTGCTGTAGCTGTCCTAATCCCCCATTTTTGATATCATGAGACTAAATAATACTACTGAAAATCTGGCATCAGGATTTAAAGAAGAAAGAGGAAGTCTGGTGAGGAAATCGTAGACTGAGGCTTACAGTTACAAAGAAAAGTATGCGTTGCACAACTCCCTGAAAGATTTTGAACTGCTACGTGTATTTCACTGAAGAACAAGTTTTGGCTGTGAGAACTTCTATCAGTGGTTTCCTGAAGCTTTGTATCACAGGGAAATTTAATTTACCCATAAAATTTGACTGCTCTTCAGTAACTTTAAACCTTCCTCTAATCCCACTGCCAGCAAGTCTTTGGAAGCCTATATTTTGTCAAAATCGACTGTGGGACTCACACATCATAATGTGATTTCGATTCAAGTTTCAGTCATGCTTGCTTAGTATGTGGTTCACTAGACAATTAATCAGTTAAAGAAAGCTAGTGCAGCGGTCAGACTTCATATACGGCAGTCCAACCAGCAGAAGAGGGAAGGCCAGCACGGCAAACCTGGATCAAAAGAAGTGCAAATTTGAATGGGTATCTCCTCCTCCTTGAAGGACACCACTGCTCCAGAGTCCCAGCTTCTGATCACTCTTCCACAAAAAGCAAGCAACACATTGGTACCTCCTGATGCACTGGCAGGCTAAGTTAAAGAGGAAGACATGTTTGCCTTCAACACAACTTGCAGAGACAAGTGGGAGAGCCCTAGTGAGGGCAGCGGAGCCTCTCTCCTATGAGTGTTAAGCAACAGCAAGGATAGACTGCAACAGCTGTTGATGAAAAACACGTATTTCAAAGTGAGTGGTATAGTTGCTTCTAGAAACTAGTTAAACACAAAGGAAGCTTTTCACATTTTCTCACTGAGTTTTATCCATGTTCTGTTAATTCTGAAGTGCAATAGCTTTCTCTAGACATAAAAAATACTGAGTTTATTAGCTTCCATCATATCTTTCTCTCCAGTAGGGTGTACATAGCACAAGCCACCATATGCAAAATCCGGAATCAGACTGCATGTATGCAGTATGTAGTATGTAGTGCTTCTCCTCCTACACAACAAAACGAGCATGAACCTCTACAAGACATGTTTGCATGTCTCTAAAATTTTCACTACATCAGAAATGCTTGCATCCATTTAAAATTCCTGTAAAAAGCCCAAATTAATTTTGAAGGAAGTCATAGTTTAACTACAACAATTAAGAATATCCACTCTATCTGTTTTTCAACAGTAACATGGAAGTGTCCCACAACATGCTGTATAAGTTTTGCTGTCCAAAACCATCACTCAGGCTTAAGAAGAATAGTATTACTCAGTACATCTTCATTTCCTTCTTCATAAACTTTTTACAACCAAAGCAGTTCTTATAACATCCATTACTCATCACCTATAAACAGTGATGTTAAATTTCTAGTGATGTTAAATTTCTAGAAGTCTCACTCGGGAGAAACACATGCTGCAAGTCTTACAAACCCGAAACATTCAAGAAGCAAAAGGTATTTGGAGTGTCAGAACGTCAGAAATCTAATGGCTAAATGTATTTTCTGAAGTGCTCCCTTTTGTGAGTTTTGCACTAGAAAGCAAATCAACATGCAGTGGATGAATACGGAGTGCAAGAAAGCCTCATTAGAAAATTACAGAGTATTAAGAATAATGGTAACCAGGAGAAGATAATTAGCTTCTTTTAATTAATGCTTACAAGCAGACACCACACCTTTTTGAAAGCAACTAATGAAATTTAAAAATGTTCAACAAGGAAAACATGTGGGGTTTTTAAACAAAAGTGGAGTTCAACACTTGCTTAGCCATTCTGCCAGATGCCCAGTGGAACAGGCAGTAAAACCCAGGTGTACGTGGCTAGTGTGCTGAGGATGTGCACAGGAGCAAAGCTAGACAAACTGATCTGGATAAACCTATTCTAGCAGATTTTTGACTGCACGCCAAGCAGTCAGCTGTCCTGCCAAAGATGACTCGTTCTTCAGAGAAGTCCGTCAGCTCCACAGTGACCAAAGGGCACCGACAGCTCAAATAAATACTCACGATGTTCCTTACATCTCTGCATTTAACTGAAGTATTTACTCACAAGTCATATTTATGAGACTCTTACTGTTCAACCTAAGTGGCTTCTACACCTTCAAATACTTCGATGATAAAATTTAAGCATTTCCATCACTAAAGCACAGGCAGGGTCCCTCAACCTATCACATGTATGGCGATGAAAATGCAATAAGAATAAATAAATACCACCCTATACACGACCTTGATTCTCCAGGCACTATTCCGAGTGTGCTGCTAGAACAGTGTCAGTCTTCACTTGCCACATGGGCAAATATTAAGTGTCCAGTAATAAGAAATTCTGATGTGCACCGGTCTCATTGCTTTAACTGAACTCCTGTTCACATAATCATCAGTAGCTTTTCATTTAACATCTGACCTGCTATTCAACTCCTTTACTCTACGTTTTTGTTATTTAAACTAACAGCACAAATTTCGGTGAGAAAAATTATGTACGACAACAGAATTTGGACACACTTTTACAGCATGCTAACAAGAATCAGTTTTTGTCTGACAGAATCTTTAGTGCAAAACCAGGACAACTTTCCATTTCTAATTACTGAACCATGCTGTTAGATTACAGTGCTACTTTTCAATAAATGTCACCTTAAATGCAGTGAGCGGCTGACAGTAAACACTACCTAATTTCACCGTTCTGCATGTAATGAAATTTGAAAGAATGCAGTGTCCTTAAATTTGTTTCATTTAAGGTCTGGCCGGAACCAGTGCAGAGCAGTAAATGGATTAAACATTTACTAAATATTTATCATATTTTATAGAACAGGCCTGTGTATATAAGAGGGTTTTTCTAATGAGAATAGCTGCAGTGGGTTTCATCACACTACTAGGTTTCAGGTGCTGACAAAACTCTTCACCTACAGATCTTCTCCTCCTTTCTCTCCTCTTTTCTACAGAATGCACAGATGACTTGATTATTTTTGCATTTATGAGACAAAAACTGAGCATGAACATCAAATATGCTTATGATTAGCCTACAAAACGCTTATCTCCACAAAAATAGCACAGTGTTGAAACAAGGAAACCTCCTTGCAGTTCAAAAAAATCTGGATTTATTTAGCTTTACATTCCCATAATAGATTATGCAATCCCATATTGCATTATAAAACTCAACCATAAGGGGAGAAATTAAGTCTTTAGCTTTAGTACACCCATGCACGTATAGTAAGAGATACAACTCACAGTATTGCCACCCATAACCCTTCACTCCCACACTCGGACACCAACTTAGGAAGGTTGTGAGGGAAGCATATGTCAGAAATAGGTGAATCAACCAATGCCTTTAGTCTGTCCTGAAAAAAAAAGTAACTCCAAATGCGTGAAAAACAGATGGCATTGATTATTTTAGTTCTCATTTAATTCCAGAGAGACAGGCTACACAGAAGATGCTTTTTGAGGCCACCATTCATAAGGGCTTTAGAAGAAAGCCAGATTACCGCCTACTTAAAAACAGTTATCTTCCGAGCCATTGCAGTCTCAATTCAAAGCCTACTTACAAGCTTCTTAATAGATTACCAGCTTGGCAGACTCCAAAGCTTGTAAAGGGTAGAACAGTAAAGGTGTCATGACAGACCATAACAACTCCACCAATTTGGTCCACTGAGGTGCCAGAAACTGACTTTTTTCTTAAATGAATGACAAGTAGAAGGTATACAGAAATTCTCAATGCTAAAAACTATGCAGCTACTATTTTTAAGGAACATGAATTCTGGGAAAGCTTTGATTAAAAGCAGAAATTAAGACATACTTCCTTAAGTCTCATCTTAGAAAACAACTACACAAATTGCAGAATAGTCTCAAAGCAGCTCTTGAGGCAGAAGGCATCTCACTGGTATTTCAGCTACCTGGCTAGCATTTCCTGAAGTTCTACTGAAAATTATTTTGTCACGACATGAAGATGTCAATTCAGCTTTAATTAAAATATAAGACAGTGAATACCCTTATACTGCTCACACAAACAAAATTATCTCACTTGTGATATAATACATTTGGAAACTCAGAGACAGAGGGCTTGCTTTTTCTGCAGAGAGCTCTGAAAGCAGTAAGGCCCACCACTCATTAGGCCAATCCCCCCTGCAGTTCCTTTCCCGGTTGTAGTTTTCTATGCAAGAACTTCCATAGCCAACAAAACAGATGAAACTTTGTATTAGCATAAGCTCGTAGGCATACAGCTGTAGGTAATCCTTTATGAAACAAATGCTAGGCTCCTATCTTGCATACAGATTAATATAATCAACTGTAGACTCATTAAGAACAGCATAACACTTCCAAAACACAAGATACATACACTTCCATATTTCTAGGATGAGACAATCAGTTTGAAGAGTTTTACAAGTTGCTCTAACTCAGAATAACAACTTTCCTTCCTTAAAGACTGTTGTAACTCCCCTCTTATAATCAAATGCTATCTAAAAAAATAATTTTCATCTATTCAGAAAATAAAGAACACTGATAGAAAAGAAAAAGAAATTTTATGCAGCTCGTATCTCTCATGGATATTCCAGGCTTACAACTCCCTCCTCTATGAAAGTACTCACAGGTCTCTATCAATATTAATAGAGGCTCAGATAGGCAACATTAGAACATTGCTATTAATCCATAAAGCAAGTGTGCCACTTTGAGATCTTGCCCCTGGGAGCTAAGGCAAACAGCCACTCACATCTTTGAGTGCAGTCTTAAGCATATCCTGACGTCCTTTGGAGGCTGCAAAGGACTTCTTGTCACTAAACAGTCTAACTTCTATTGTTTCTGTGGGACAGCAGTATTCTCTGGTAGGTTACAAACAAACATTCACTGACAGATTAAGAGAGTTAGATCATGCAAGTTGTGTGAAAAGAAGGGGGGTATCTTTTTTTTTTTTTCTCTCCTTTTTCCTTCTTTTTAAGGGGTCTTACTACCACTGTGTGACTATTTTCCTACTTGGTTACTCTATTTCCAGCTGGGAATATATACAAGTGATCTAGATTTTTCCTTAAATAATTACTTCTCTTAATTCAGAGATAATTGGAAAAAAGGACAGACAGTGAGAAAGGATTCCTACATGCTTTTTGATGACTTATAAAGGCAGTATGAGCAAGTTTTAGTTCAGATTTAAAAAAAAATGTGCATGTTCAGGTCTTGTCTCTATGACAACTACATAACTAGTGGAATGATTCTCTCCCTCTCAAGACGCTAAGAAACTGAGTACTTTAGAGAGGAAGAGGTTTCAGTCAGACTGTTTACAACAGTTCAGTGTTGTTAACACCTATTTAAAGCTAATGGCTACTGAACACTTTTTGAGAGATGTCTTGTTCGACACAAAACTTCCTTCTTTGTTTAATTAAGAGACAAGACAAGATCCAAAGGGACATAAGAACTTTCATTGAGTCTTCAACAAATCAGACAACCAGACTAGATTTGATATTTGTGAGATGAAGAAAATTTGAAAAGCAAGCTATTTATTTAAAAGCCATGTAGATCCAGACCCTCTTCTAGGCATACATATTTCCAAATCAATTATTTTTCTTGCAAGAAAATAATTCTCTCCTTTCTCCAGTCAGAGGAAGTTTCTGCCTTTAGAAGTCCTTACTACAACAGCAGGTTTTATAAATGCAATAAACGACTCTCCCTTTCAAACAGTTAACAGAGGAAAAGTTAACATATTTGTCAAAAGTTATCCATCCCTCTGCTGTTTTTTCCAATCCACAGTGAAAACCATTATTATTTCACTCTATCAAGCACCAAAAAGAACTTTTAGTAGTAATATAATTCATGTAAATTATGAATAATTTATGCAAGTTAACATGTCCAAGACTGTCAAGTTCACATAATTTGAGCAGAAACAATTGCAATCCTGCAAGAACAAACTGGCAGATTATAGAAATGTTTGTGATGGATAATATACAGCAATGGATGTCTGTCTAAACCCACCAAGGAATAGTAAAAATATCAAGCTACAGTGGTAACTAGATAATGTTACTAACATAAGGTAATACAAATAACTAATGTTACGTGTCTCTAACTACAGTGGAAATAGCCTACACCAGTCTTAATTTTGCATAGGCTCTACCATTAGACTTTTAATACTAACTACTGTGCTTAGTGATTCTATTAGTACAGTTTTAACAAAGTTAAAGCATTCAGTAATTTGAAATGAGGGTTGCAAATCACCAACTCCAAAAATGCCATTTGTAGAAGGAAAGTACTTTCAAAAACTGAGCTAGAAACTTAAAAACTCAGCTAAACCATACTACAAAGCATATTTCCTTGTAGTCTTTTGGAAAGCACACTGAACAAAAGAGGTGATTTTAAACCCCTGAATGTGAAATATAGTTATTTTACCAGTTACTCTCTGATGCAACCGTAATTCTCCCATCCCCTCCCATATACTCACCATATCTGTGCTAACACTGGTTGAGGTAACCCAGACTGAAAAAAAAAGTTTCTAGCTTGATCACCTATAAAATAAATAGGACATTATTTCAGAAAATGCTAAAAATACCTGTCAGAGGAAAGAAGAAATAATGGGTCAAAAACATCTAAAGCAGCAACAGTAAAACCATAAATACTTAATGCTACGTGTACATAACAGAGTATGAGATTTAAACTTATGTTGTCAGTTGCAAACCTACCAGGTATTTCCAAACACACACATACTGCTGAAGTCTGCAACAGTCAGCACCACATGAACATTTAGGGCAATGGGAAATTCATGGTTCACAGTCCCTGATCTATATTAATGGCTCTCTTTGCAGAAATCATACGCCTTGTAAGAACAAGAACATCTTTTCTTCCAGAGAAAGCATGTATCAGTATGAACTCTTACCTTAGAATTTCTGGAAGTACAATGCCAGTCAGCTAGCACAAACTAAATAAAGTGGTCTTTAGCCTGATGTGAACCAGATAAGCTGCCATTAAAGAAAGCAAGGATATATTTCAAAGTCATTTTCCAACTATCAGTTAGAAGTGAGGATACCAAAACAACTACAAAGGATTAGGTATTTGAAAATGTGGCCTGTAAAGTAAAGTTGTAAACAGACTAGGAATAGCACTAAATATCAAAGGAGGTCAGTAAAAAAAGTATTTTGTAACATATCTGTCACGTAACAGGAGCAGAAACAATCAAATTGTATACTTGGAGGTGTGTACGTCTGTGACAACACTCTGCTAAGAATCCAGTTCTGATTTCACACTCTGGAAATCCTCCTCATGGATCTCAGCAAGAAAGATAAAACAGTTCTCTACCTTTCATTTCAATTGTGCATCAGAGTTTAGATAGCAATAAAGAAAACTAAATGCAACAAAACAAACTAATAAAAAACTAGGCCTCCTACTGCCTTTAAAACCAACACAAATTTGTTGTGTTCAGTGAAAATTTAGTAAAATCAGTACAATTCCTTTACTTGCAGCTTTGCTTCCCACAACTTAAATCAATTTTGCCATTTAGATTTTAAAGAGGTTATTCATGCTGATTTCACTAGTTTAAACAAACAGTTTCTGAAACAGACTTCAGTTAAATTGATACATCTTTATTTAAACAGATTTCTTAATCTATTAACATGTTAGCATGGTGGGTTGACCGCAGGCAGAAACCAAGCACCCAGCCACTCCCCACAGCAGGATGGGGAAGAGAATAAGGAGAGCAAAAGTAGGAGGACTCACTGGTCAAAATAAAGACAGTTTAATAAGTGAAAAATTAGGAAAAAAACCCCAAGTGATGCAAAGGTAACCACTCGGCACCTCCCTCAAGCTCAGTCTCTGAGCAATGGCTACCTTGGAAGACAACAGCCCCCACCCCAGTTTTTGTTGAGCATAGTGGTATGAGATAATTCTTCAGTCAGTTCGGCTCAGCTGTCCCTGCTCTGTCTACTTCCCAACTTTTTGCCCACTCCCAGCGTACTCACTGAGGGGTGCAGAATGAGAAACAGTGAAAGCCCAAGGCTTTGCAAGCACTGTTCAACAACAGCCAAAAGGTTGATGTGCTACCAACACTGCTTTAGTCACAAATACAAAACACAGCACCATACAGGCTGCTATGAAGAAAGGTAACTCCATATCAACCAGACTCAGTACAGCAAGTTAATTCACTGAGTACATTAAAAGCACTATGAATATGACCAGGCATCAGGGTGATTCCATATCCTGAACTCCACAGTTCGTAAGAGTCAGTTAGCTCTACACAACAAAACTCCTTCACAGAGATACAGTTATAAATTATTTTAATCCTACTTACAGAAAAATCAAGTGGCATAAACAGGTATATAGCTGGTAAACATCAGAAAATATCAGAAAATATGGGGTTGACATGACCAGGCATATGAAAAACGTGATATAACATGAGTAAGATCTGTTCAATTTTTTAAATTCTTATGCTCAAAGGTCTCACAGGCATCTCTGTACATATTTAAGCTTGTTAGTTAAGATTTAATTAAATGAAATTAGAACAGAAAGTTATTTCATTACCAGTGATAAATCCAGACGTTGGTTTCAGACTATGGAACTGTTGATCATGTTTAGCTCTCTCCTCCACAGTAATAGCCCAGATATCCAGGTTGCCTAGTCCAAAAGAAATGAAGAAAAATTAAGAAACATTATCTAAAAACTACATAATTTTTATTTCTGAGTGTAATTTTACCATATCATACTGGACCTCTTGAAACAACATACACACAGATGCTGCTCATCCAAAGTCTATAGCTGAAAGCTCCATGAATCCTCAAATAGCCAGTTAGGGCTTAGGATCTTAACAGAACTAAGTGTTACCAAATTAAGATGACAGCTGAGCACTGATTCACTTATCTGGTTCATATGAACCTTAAATTACAACCAGGCTACTCAAAGTGCAATCAAACTTACAAATGGGGTATTAAAAGACAACATCAGCATACCAGAGGATATAACACAACAGGTTCATAGCACTAGATATTTAGCGAGTGGGAGGTCATTTGCCTGTCAGAGCACATACAGCTGTAATGCAATTCAAGTTTTTTAACTGAAAATGTACCTCAAATAATCAGTTGTAACTATGTGGGTTTGTACTATTATAGGAGAAGAACTCTTGTCTAGGCAAAGTGTGATTCAACCAGACAGCAAACATTTTTCATGGGCCACAACAGCACAGGAAAGCGTGCTCATCGTTCTTCTGAGAATAGGAAATCCAAGTAAGAATACATTAATGGGACCAGCTTCTTCACAGAACACTTGTAAATTGGAGGTGAACATTTAGTGTATGTTGATATTTACTACGCTTTACAGTGCCAGCTTCTACAATCCTTTCTCCAGTTCCACCTCCATTTTTGCAGCAGTTCCTCTCCCCCTTCTTGCAGACATTTCACCTTCATCCCTCAAATTATTTGTACTCAGAGCAACCATATCTCAACTTCCACTTGAGACCTTTGATGAACTCCTTAACACTGTGTTTCAAGTTTGTCTCAACAATTCCTAACCAGTAAAACATCATGACTTCAACATCTGTAGAGTACATTACACTGGCACACCTTCCTGTAACTCCTACTGTATAGGAATGTAACGATACAAAGGCACCTGAGTTAATGGAATCACTGTTTCACCGAAATAATATTAAACAATTAAATGCAGACTTGTAGAAAAATAAGAGATCAAGCATTCATTCTGTCTCAGTGCTAAACTGTCAGGTTAAATTTCAGGTAATAAGGTCCCCAAATATTTACAGCAAGTATTTCAAACAGCTTACAAGCTGAGGCAGAATCAGACTCAGCAGTTATGAAGAACATGAGAATTTCCTGCCTCCTGAGTTTCTTCTATTTAAAATCTACTTTCATGTGGCAAAATGTACTTTGGAGAAAGGAAATGGACAAGGGGAGGAAAAACATTCCTTTAAATGGTAGATTTCAGTAATGAAAGAAAAGCCACATTCTTGGTAAAAAAATTATCATCAGTTTCAGATAACCTATGAGTTTCTAGAAGCAGACAGACTAATAGTATTTAATTCAAAGAAAGGATGTTTTAAGATTAGACCAAAAATCCCAGAATTTTTGTAAATAAGATCACAGAGGCACTGTAAACAGTTTTCATAGCAGTGCTCCCTGTGGGAATGAAACAGGACTCTGGATATGAACATCCCAAAACATAACAGTTCACGTCAGCAATTATCTCCCGCATCTTCTCATGAACCCTTGACAGGAGAAAAATGATGTTAAGACTTTATGGCTATGCAGACTAGCCAACTAAGAGCAGATGAACATCTCCCTGTATTGGAAACATGACTACTCCAGCCAAAGATCCTAAAGCTGGATGTGGCAGCTTACACAAAGAGGGAGAATTTCTTGAATATCATGTGAGGAGTTAAAAAAACAAAACAAAACACACATCACAACATGAAATCTGCAGTGGTTAGCTGGCTTGCTCTCTCTCAATTTGGGGTAAGCACGACTCCAGTACCAAAATAACCCTTAACACACCAACAAAAAAAACAGCTTTCCCTTTCCTTCTTAAAAGTAGGCAATAAAACCCAGAACTACAACTCTTACAGCATGAGGTTAACTAAAAATGTACTCTATTAACTATTTTAAAACTAAATTTGTTGATTTCTTCTCTGGAGTCCCTGTCACTAGAATAAATGATTGTCAATATTTACCCTTCCTGATGGGGATTTGGTTTGTACTGAAACAGTAGATTCTCTTTGTGGGACATGAACATCACAAGAGTCAATGTTAAAGCAAGCAAGCCTAGTAGCCTCTTCGGTTAGAAAAGTATGAATGGCATCTCTGGCATTGCCTCGTTTCCATCTTTTGATATTTGAGGAAACAATAAAACCTATGGGAGGGCATGAAGCACGATCTAACCCAACATCAAGACATCATTCATGGCTTCAAATCCTGGATGCCAACACAGAAGTTGTGGGGCTTTTCAATATAATTGGATACAAAGGAGACGGTCATCAAACCACAAAATTGACTCATAAGAAAACTATCCTTGAATACAGCAGCAAGCCCTCCAACCATCTTTTCTTCTGCATGGCTTAGAAATCACTTCATCTGCAAAAGTGAAGTAATCTGCTATGAAATGGGCATTTTTTTCTCCTGGACAAATCAACAGAAGGTCGGGCATACCACATTCTTCCCAGCCGTTCTAAAAATCCTACCATGCATATTCTTTTTTTTAATCAGTCATCCTTAAATGAGCAGTGTTCTGGAGTATCAAGAAGTCACCCCAATTTAAATGGTGGGTGGCATGCTGTTTCCATTCCTATTTCCCAAGCTGACTTAAAAGATTCTTTAAAAAGAAGTGAAATAAAAACAAAACCATCCTTATTGGTATTCCAAGCAGGGGGACACCAAATATTGCACATTTGTAGTGTGAGCTCTCCCAAGATTGAGATTGCATAATTCTCTTCTGCATCTTGTTTGGTGACTACAGGTAACAGAAAATGTTGCATTCTCTTAAGGATGATAGATAGATCTCCCCGTAAAAATTGGAATTTTTTTTCCACCCTTTGTTTCTTCTTAGAACAATCTCAGACTTTTGCTGTCATTCTTCTAAGAGGAGGTATGATGCTACTTGATAGGCTATCCATAGAAGTATGAATACCATAATGAACTTCCCTCGCACTGCATTATGAACTAAAGATGCTTCAGAAACTGCATTAGGCATGTACTTATTTCAACTTCCTCTCTGTAGAGCAGTCAGAAGAGAAATGTTGTTTGAGAAGAAATAGTGAACTTCTTCCTTCCTAAAGCCCCGTACTAGAGTTAACAGGATCCTGGACAACATATGCAAGATCAAAAGGTAATATACAAAGTTGAAAAAAAAGCAAGCTGCTATCCAGCTGTCATGCAATGAGAACTCTCTGATGACAGTAGAAAAGAATGCTTTGAAGACAAGATTTCCATTAAAAACATATATGCTTGTTTAAATATGGATACATGCAAAGCATATCCCTAACTCTAAACAAATGGAAATACGTCAGTCTGAAGAACCAGTTTTCATTCATATCATGACTTCTCTTAGACTGTGAAAATCAGGGTAAAATGAGGCTATTCACAACTTTTTATAAAACTTGAAAGGGCATCCTACTTGAAACCGTCCAGTCAGTTTATTTGATAAAATATTTGGTAGCCAGTTTCACTCTTAAACTGAGAAAATCTGGCATCAAACAAGATTTAATACCAGAGCGCTAGATTTAAGGATAACTGAGGCAATGAATGGCAGCTTCCAATTATACGGTTGTTCTAGCTACCACATGCACAGAGATGCTTCTTCTGTTGTGCTTTGCAGAGTTTTTCAGACAGGCAGAGATTGCATCCTATCAATTGTGTTTAACCAGAAGTGAGTTTCTCTAACAACATACTCTGAATAACACGTGTGTTTCCTGAAGTCTCCCAATGAAGTTTATTTCCTAGCTACACCCATCCCAAAAACTAGACTTCCATACATATCTTTATACATACACACACTTTTTTGGTGTGTATGTGTACACATATTTATGTGTATGTGTGTATACACAAACACACATATACACGCAGCGGGAATCATACCTGCACCTCCTTAACAGATGTAACATTTAAGTGGAACCAAAGTGGTTACTAGTTCTCAGCACTGAAATTTATCTTTGTAATCTTTCATAGGATCTGTTGTAAAAACGGGCTCAAAAATGCATTTCATGTGAATAGCAAAAAGTAATGTCTCTATTGCACTACCAGGGCCTTTCCTTGATCTTTCAGAAAGCCTGAAGTCCAAGATGCTATACCTTCCCTTGTTATAAATGGAAAGCTACAAAAATGCAGCACCTTCGTTCTAATCTATAGATGGGTTATGGGACAATAAGGAAAAGAAATTTGAAGTGGTAACATCCAAAGGCATCTGCTGTACTTTTCAGCAATGAAAATGGCCAGGAATCCTCAAAGAAAAAGCCTATCCACTTCTCAGCTACAATTAGTGCTTATAAAATAGTAATTTATAACATTTAAATAGCATTTTAGAATTTAATCTGAAAAAATACTACAACAACCAGGCAGGACCTAGCAGAGAAGGTTAAGACAGGCAAATAAAAACTGGGTAACTACAGAATGAGGCTATGCCCTACTGCCAGTGGCTGAATGGCCTGGATCTGCCCTGCAGTTACAGACCATGGGACTGTAATGGATCAATGCACAAAAAGGGATACAACATGGCTTTTCTGTTTGACTCTCCCGATATGTTCCTGCAAAATTTCATGTGTTGTCTAATCGATCTGCAAAAACATCACAAATCAGATAAAATATCATCTCATAAAGATAAATTATCCATAAACACTATCCATACAGAACATATTCAGGAAGCACTATGTTTATGTAGAATTTTTGCATATAAGAATAGTTCTGAATACACTATAAACAACTTACCTCCAAAAGGTGTTGGAAACTGAGCCATGGTTCTGTCACTTTTAGCTTGTTAATAGATGCCTGAAAAAGAAAAACAACACCACATCAAAACTATAGATAATCAGTTACAGTATCTTCCATTTTTAATGTATTTTCTGTATCACCATATAAACAATTAGTACAAATTGAGGTAATGAGAAAATAAGATCATATGAATAATACCTGCAAGAACTGTTATTTACAAGTAACTTGAGAACTAAATGTCCCACTTTTTGCATTATCCTATACATCCATTCGTGCCTTTTCAGCCTAGCAAACAGCTACATTTCAGTTGTGTTTCAAGAATGTCCTCAAAACAATCTTCATTTAACAATAACCACTGATGTAGTAAAGAACCAAGTTAAGTCAGCCACAACAGACCAGATCTCAGTGATGCTGCTCAAGGCTGCATTACTTCACTGGATGTTAGAGCTCTGCTCCTGCTCAAGAGCAAAACTGGCTCTATTTCAAACTGTTGAAAACATACAACATGGTCAACGATCTGGTTTTCATTCCTGACAGAAAAATTCATTAAATGCACTGTCTGGCTTAGAGTTCTTTTGTTTTAAGCAAAGCACATTTTAAAAAAAACAACACCACAAACCACTTGATTTGGGACTGCTTTAGCCTCAAACTAGCCCACAAGTTTAATAAGCACATCCAAATGAAAAAAAGTGCTAAAAGTGACATCACAAACAAAAACACGTTAGTTGATAGGAAGATACTGCTTGCTTTTCAAACAGAAGCAATCTACACAGTCTAGAAGCTCGATCTTTAAAGAAAAAAGGAAAAACATTTTTCTTACTCCACACAAAGCCTGACATGAACTGCCTGAGCCAAGAGGACAATAGCTAGCAACAGAGCCACAAAAACAATGAAAAAGCAGCTCTTGTCCTACTAGATTCCACTCATGTTTTCCAGGCAACAGCAGAAAATAAAAAGGAAACAGAATCAGAAGGAGAATAATTTAGCCTGCTCGAACAGCAGCAGAAATTTATCAATATCGCTAAGAAAAGGCATTAACTTGCATCAACAATTTCCTTTTGTCTGAATTTCTTGTTTGCTACCCTCCCCATCCCCCTTTCACACTTCCCACATACTCTTCTGGCTTCCATCTTGGGAACCTACTATATATACACTCCACAGATGTCATTGCAGAAAAACCCACAGCACTTTTGTAAGCCAGTCTCCCATCAGTTGTAATCTAGAGAACTACCAAAAACAATACTGATTTTTTTTTTCCTCATAATTTGGCAGAGCAACCAAGCGTGGTACATGACTCAGAAACCTTCTTCCAACTGCCAGGTAACACAGCCGACAATGCTTGCTGCGCATGAAATTCGCATCACAAAGTTTAAAAAAAAATTTTTTTTAAATAAATTAAAAAAAAAAAAAAATCACACACATACTGATCGCCTGTTCTGAAAACACTGTATCTGAGTAGTGCAGCCTTTCAAAAGCATTTCTTAAGTGCTAGAAGATCAGGTCTTTAATCTTTGTTAATGTTTCCTTCTTGTTGCAGGCAATACCTCTATTATGCTTCTATTTTTTAAAACTGCAAGCAAACCAGGAGGAGGCGGTGTGGAGGAAGAGTTCTCTGAACTTCCATACATGTACCCTTGAATCTTACAGCACGGGCAGTTTTTACACTCCAGTGCTAAAAAGGTAACAGAAGGAAGACCAGCAGAGCACAGATTCTTTTCCTACTTCAATTTCCCAGAGTATGCAGAAGGACAGGAAAAGCACTTGGGGCAACAACAGAAGGACACGACTCTTGCAAAGGAGAACTAGAGGGTGGGTTAGGGAGAGGTGGTAGTTGCTTTGTTTAGAGTTTGGGGTTTTCTTTTTGGAAGATAAAAAAAAAATATTGTACCTACTGGGACAGAAAAGTATATAAAAGGATTGAAAATGTTTAGCCACTTAAGGGAAGATATGCCTCCACAGCTTACTAGTACTCTGAAGGAACTGAGAGTTTATTCCTCTTTTACCTTCAACACATCACAAAGAAGGGAAGGAGTGGGAAGCCTCGAGACCAGCCCTGTGCTGGATGTCAAAGACAGCATATCTATGTAAAGGGGGGGGGGGGGGGGGGGTGGAGGGGGCGATGGGAAAGAGAGCAGAAAGTTATGTTTAAACTTGAGAAACTGAAAAACAAAATGAAATAGACTTCAGACCAACATACAGTAGAAAGCAAATAGAGGGAAAGATCAACATTATCCAGTGAGAGAATAATTTAAGTTTGCTGTTTACTGCCAAGGTAGGACCCAACCTCCAGAACCAGAGGTTTCATTTTACCCATGCCCAACATGACACCAGGGGCTCTAACTCTGTAGGAATTAAACTCTGCAGCTATGGACAGTTGATCCCAACAGCTCAGGCTTTGCTATGTATGAATCATGGAATGGTTTGGGTTGGAAGGGACCTTAAAGACCATCTAGTTCCAACCCCCCTGCCATGGGCAGGGACACCTTCCA